GCCAGCCAATGCGTTTGTACGGCGCGGTTGCGAGATGCAGTGTGGCGCGGCGTGAGCGATCGCACCGGATTCGTTGATATGGTGAAGCGCGCGGGCGCGCCAGCCAATCGTGATACGCGGTGTGGTCAGGATCCGCGGCGCGGAAATTAGGATCGAACGCTTCCCCGATGCAATGGGGACCGCATGACACTGGCGAGGATCTACGACCCCAAGAACGCTTGGGAGGGTGGAGAACACTCCACCCTTGAACGTGTCGCAGGCCCGCGGTGTGCCGGTAGAGGTGCGGGACCTGAAATGGTGAGAGCTGGAGGTGCAGGCAGCTGTATCGCTTACCGAGAACGCTCGGCAGTGACTGAGAACGCTCAACCACTTTGTTCTTGCGATAGGCTGTGTGGAAAACAGATAGTTTCTCGCTACCGAGAACGCTCGGCAGTGACTGAGAACTCTCAACCACTTTGTTCTTGCGATCGACTGGAATCTGCTTTGAGATATTCGAGGAGTCTTGGAGCGGTTTCGGAGCGGAGCTCGGAAAGCGGAAAAAGGCGCTGAGTTCGGCGATTGCCTCGTCTTTTATATGGATTGTTGCTCCCGCTCGTATTGTTCCGGAATAAATCGGCGCGTTCCGTTAGCGAACAATACGAGCGGGGGTAAACGCGGTTCGGTTCGGTTTGTGCCTATTCGGCCGATTTCGGCGGATTGCCGGTTTCGCGATGTTTCGCGGTCTCTGGCTCGCCGGTAGTACCTGTGAATTATGTTTTAGTTTCTCAAAAATAATGTGGGCGCACCGCGCCCTCCTCGCTGCTACCCCTGATGTCGGGGTGCAGCGGCATCCGACGGATGACCTGTCGGGAACGATGCGTTAACGGGGTGCATCGTTACAAAATAATACAAATCATCTATATCGAATAGCATATAATAATAATTTCCTCTTGAGAGAGAAAGATCAGAGTAGAATCACTCTATGTTTCACTATTTTCGCCAATTACACATTAAAAATGTTAAGTGAAGAAATTATATATTATCCATTGCAATAACTAAAACCAACAAGAATTCCAGATCAATAATGACTCTTGGCGAATCTAATGGAAGTTGACTAGTAAAGATTTTGGGAATCACTAAAAACTTTAAAGACATTAAATCCTCATTTTAATTAATACAATATTAATTAATATTGATATTAAATACACTCTACAAATACGTGACGGAAGAAGATTAAATTGAAAAAGCGAAATATCTAATTTAACCTAATAAAATAGTGTAACGTGTAACGGAATAACGGGTCTTACCTGGCTACAGAAATATAAACACTGAATGCCGATTTTCAAGCAAGTCGGACATTGCGAACACGCAACGGCGTTACATCCGACTCTTTTGCACATTCCGAGTGCTATCGATATTAAATTTAACAACGTCGCGTATGTACAGTCGTCAACAATCGTGTACATATACAGTCACACGCGTAGCACAGTGTCATCAGCACTGTTCTGAAATCTGATCTGAATCTGAATAGAGGCAGGATCAGATATAGATGTTACCTTATGAATGTAACCGGGCGACTACACGACACTTGTAAAAAAACGCGGCGCCCGTCATCTTCAAAATAACTCAAGCGGCCAATCACGGCTGCGCTCTCTGTTGTGTTCCATCGCGCACGCGCACTGACGAGAAAACGACGAGGCGGCCAATAATCGTACATTCGATTGGTGCGTAATCTATGCGAACAAAAGCTACGCCGCATGGCGGAATGTGTCCAAACTAAAACTAATAGCGGTCACTTCTAGAGGCCTAGATAATGCGGGGTCAACAATTTTATTAAGTCGTAAAAAATTAACCAATCGCAATCGAATATGAGAATAATCAACTGTGATTGGTCAATTTTCTACGACTTAAGACCCTACGACCGCTAAGATTTTTATTGTAGACCCCACATAGCAGAGATGCGTTATTGAAGGTTATGGTCTAATTGGCTGTCTAAATCATGTGATCAGAGCCCCATTTTAATTAGCTGCGTTCAGCAGACTCAGCAATTTTGCAACCGTTTTATGATTCGTCGCGCTAATTGGATCATACTTTTAGATTTAAAGGAATACTCCTATCTCAGCGAAGAATCACAAAACGGTTGCAAAATTGAGTCTGCTGAACACAGCCATTAATTCATTACTGCGTATAATTAGAGTCCTAGGACTCTACGTACAGAGTTTAATAATGTATGAACTATTAAATACACAATATATAATGTATGTACTATTAAGTACATACTATAAGGACGTACTATACTTTCTTGTTTTTTCATATCGATGCTCAATGCTCATTTTCGGCGTCAAAATAAGTCACGAGATAGAAATTGGTTCTAATTATACTCGAATATGATGATAATGCTGGAAAGTTTGGATATTCTATTCTATCTAATAATCAACTCGACTTCTACACAATTACTGTGATGGATAAATTATTTTCATACTTATATCTAGTTAAATTTTTAGATGCTTTAGCACAATCGTTTTTCCGTATATATAAAAATATACATTGCGTGTCTCCGCAAATTAAACTTTCGTTAGTTATATAATGTGTGTGTATGTGTTAGATTTCAATAAAAACATGTGATTTAAAATATGATTTTAATATGTATTTTTAGAATAGATACATGTTTCCGAACAATTCTTTCAAGTCACGCACAATAAGTGTGGAAAGCAAAAGTGGGTTGATCCAATCAACTGGCCTAGTCTTTCTTATTTTCGAAATTTTCATGTTGGTTGGGAGATGTTGACGGTTTTTCGTATGTTGAAGGAAATTTCTGAAAAAAATTTTAATATTATTGATTTTTAAGTTTGATCGAATGAATGTATGTCAGAAATGGCACGTAAGCTTCCTTTTAACAACATAATAATTTCGTAATCTTAAAAATCGATAAAATAGATGGCAAATTTAGCTGTGAAAAACTGCTGCGATGTCGGTGCATATTTATTTAATAATTACTTTACACTTTACACTTTTATATCAAATCAAACACATGTCTCATTTTGCTGCATATATGATTATTTTTCAAAATTATGAAATTGTTTTTAAGAGAAAATACATATGACAAGAAATATTTTTTATAACATGTAAGACTTACCCTGTGTTTAGGTCCCCAATTGTAATGAGCTGATGACATTTTATACAGAAAGCGCATGAAGCGATCCTGTTGAATGTGTGCACCTGCTCTGGTACCCCTCTTTCTTTTTTGTACTGATTTCGGACGTGCAGAATCGCATTTAAAAACTTTGGCCTGAAAATTACAATAAGCGAATAAGTAATTCGGTAATTTTTAGTAATATCTTGTTAACATTGCGAATCACAAATTAAATCGCAAGCAATTTAGTGATTTGATGCTCAATTAACATCATTTTAAGATTTTAACTTACGGCACAGTTATCGTTTGCTTCTAGCATGTCAAAATCGTCTGCAAAATAGTCGTTCGCCTGCTAAAAAGGAATGGAAAATAATGTTACTTTTGAAATTGTCAGTACTCAAAATTCATAGCATACTCGTATAGATTTTCAATGACTACGATTATACGCCATTATACACCAATTAGTTTATACCGAAGTTATAACACTGATGTTATGAAAGTGGCCAATCACAATTCTTTCATTTTTCAGAGAAATATCTATTATCGGTTTCATAACGTCGGAATAAAACGAGTTGTGTAAATATTTAAAAAAATAAAAAAATCGACTTACCTCCAAATCCCTCGCTATCTTATCTTTTTTAGTCTCTTCTACAGTTTTCGCCATGTTGCCATGATTTACATCATTTTCCGCCATGTTTCAGAAAAGTAGTCTTTGCAGTTTGTACACGGGATGACAAATTCTCTTCACTCGTAGATCCGTTCGATCGATTCGATCACGAAGACCAATGAAGATTACGAGATTGTAATGGATAAATAATAAATATAAACGCACGAGACTTTCCTGTAAGATACGGTTGATCCTTAAAATATAATTATCACTCGCAGACCCGTTCAATCGGTTCGATCATGCAGACTGGTGAAGACCATGAACGACGATATCAAATTATAGTCGATTCTACACAGTGTAACCAATCCGTAGAAATTGAAATGTTTCACCTAGAGGATTTTCGTTGCTGCCAACGTTATCCCCTCTATTTTTATGGTCGTCTAACCTTAGGCTGCGTTCCGAAAACCATAAGGTTAGACGACAATTTCCATAAAAGTAGAAGGGATAACGTTGGCAGCAACGAAAATTCTCTAGATGAAACATTTCAATTTCTATGGATTGGTTACACTGTGTAAGTAGAATCGACTATAATTTGATATCGTCGTTCATGGTCTTCACCAATCTGCATGATCGAACCGATTGAACGGATCTGCGAGTGATAATTATTTTAAGGATCAACCGTATCTTACAGGAAAGTCTCGTGCGTTTATATTTATTATTTATCCATTACAATCTCATAATCTTCATTGGTCTTCGTGATCGAATCGATCGAACGGATCTACGAGTGAAGAGAATTTGTCATCCCGTGTGCAAACTGCAAAGACCTCGGCTACATTCTATCCATATTCAGGAACCGTTGTGAGAAAATCTGTAAGTAACCCAGATAGCAATATATCTGTCTTGTTGACATGTTGCTTGCTGAGCATGCATTGCTAAGTATGTGTTGCCACCAGAATTGCGGCAATTGAGTCCTCATTTGTTGGCAACTTGATGCCTTCACGATAACATTAAGTAGCAACTTGCCAGCAATTTCCCGACAACTTTAAATTCGTCATCGTCAAAATTCGTACTATTTCCATCAAGTTGCCATAATAATATACAGCATCATACAATGCTGTGTATTGCCGACAACGCACGATAACATTGACGCAGCTATCTTGCTGTTAAACTGCTGGCAATACATATAGGGTTCGTTCTTTTAGGCATCTCATTTGGCAGTCGCTGCGCATCGGAGCTGCCGATTGCGTGTTTTTTAAACGATTACGCAGATACATAGCCGGCTGCGCAGCTGATTCTATTCGTCTGCGTATCTACTGCGTATCCATTGCCAAAAGAACGAAAATCTGCGCTGCAATCGATTGTGCAGTTGTGCTAAAAGAACGAATTACTGCAAGAACTGCTGTATCCGATGCCTAAAAGAATGCACCCATACACATTGGGTGCTTTCCATTTGATTGATGACACAAATCGACACAAGTGGACACAAGGATCGTTCTATCCTTGTTGACATTCAGAGAATGACGAAGATAGAACGACACTTGTGTCGACTTATGTCATCAAATAGGAAGCACCCATTGTCTGCATGTTGCTACAATGTCGATATATTCGAAATTCGTTGAAGACAAATCTACGGCAAGTTGCCAGCATCATAAGCAATCACAGATTTGTGCGATTTTGCTGAGACATGCTTTGCTATCTGGGAATGTATACTTCAAGTTATGTAAAAAAAATACGATTTTTTTTACTTACATTCTTTTGGTCAAATGTCAAATCTTTTTAATATTCTCCAAAAAAGGGCAGATATTTTCCCAAAAAGTGTAAGTAAAAAAATAGTGTTTTTGATCTGCTGAATATATGATAAAATTATTAAAACGTTTATTGTTTTAGGGAACATCTCGAAAAGTAAGCAAGAATATTGAAAGGGTATAGTAGGATAAGGAGGTGATTTCAGGTCACATTTCATCCCAAAAGAGCCACATCGTTTCGAGGTATCGAATAAAATGTGATTTTTCATAAGTATTTTTTTTTCTCCGTTAAATCTCTCTAAACGGATCTTTAAAAAAAAAATCATGAGTATAAAGGGTCTTTTTGGCTCAAAGTTCTGTTTTTAAAAAATTCAATATATCTGAATGTTTTACCACTTTTAAAATAATTCAGCAGCTAAATCTTATCATAAATTATATTCGTGATTTTTTTTGAGATTTTTAAATTTGGTGGACGTATCAAAAAAAAATTTTAAACCGTTTTTTCGCCATTTTTCGACCTAAAATATATTACGTTGACGTATTTTAAGTTGTTCTTTTAAACGTAATTTTACTTACCTTCGATCCCAATTCTGCAGACGATAATTTAAAACTTTAATATTATATAGAATTCGCGTAGGTTAAACGAGAATTCCATTTTTTCTCCTTCAGAAAAATTAATTTAACTGATTTCAGCATTTATTACATTTTTTTTAAGCGAAGACCAATTTCTAACATAAACTTTGTTAAGCACATAAACATGATAAACTTGTCTTACTCTAACGTAATGTCAAGAGATTCAGGTTTTTGATCTACAAGGTATGTATACATTACCAAATTAATTTTATATTTTCTATTAACTCACTTTCTAAAGTTATACAAAAAAATACCATTTTTATATGCAAAAATATATAGTTTACAGAATTTATTTATTTACAATCATTATTTTATGCGAAATAATAATACTTTGAAAGACATTTTTGAAAGGATTATCAAATTCTATATTAATCTTCATCGCTGTCTTCATGTATGTACATGACAGGCTTAACTTTTTCAACATTAAAAAGTTTCAATAACACTTCTGCTGGCCTTATTATACGAGATAAATATCTTGCGTGTGTTAAATAAAATATAATTGCTGCAACGTGTGAGCAACATCCAATCGTTCTTCGTCCATGTGTACAGTCACACATATATATAACGTTGGATACTAGCTTTTCCAACTGCATTCAGTGTGTATTCTATGTATAGCACTTACAGGTTTTCCAACTGATATTTCTGTTACTAATACTAATATTATAAGATAATATTATTCATTTTTATAATTACCGAAAGACTCAAAGAAACTTGCGAACAGGAATCGTTCGATCACTAGTTACCCATATTAGTATGATAAGGGTTAATATAGTACTATATTTGATAATCTTTTAAAAAATGTATTATTATCAAGTATTATTATTTCGCATAAAATAAATGTATTATTATGTAATATTAGGTTGTTTCTTTGATTTCTTAAAAATGGTATTTTTTTGTATAACTTTAGATAGAAAGTTAATAGAAAATATAAAATTAATTTGGTAATGTGTACATATAAAACGAATTTTGGATTAAATAGCCTTGTTGTAAAAGTATTATGACTTAAATTATAGTACGCACAAACAGGACCTCTCAGCTGCACTGGATTTTATGAGAAAATCGAAAAAAAAATTTTTAATTCGTTAAAAATTCACTTACTCGTACAGCTGTCACCTTGGATATATATTTGCTTGATATAAAAGTTTTAGAGTCCATATCTCGAAAATAAGCGTGCAGCTGAGATCACATTATGGAAACGAACGATACCGAGTTTGTAGAACTAAGATTGAAAGTCTAGAAAGGAAATATTTCCACCGAATAGAAAATACGTGTATACAGGTGCTTTGCGAAGACTGGGACTGTCAACAGAGCCGAAATTTCGTATAGCAGTAGTTGCGCGGTCTTGCGATAGATGATGCTGGCATATGTTAGATAAGAACAGATACTATATATGCGTTTGAGTAAGACAGAATGATATATATTATATGTATAATATAATGTAAAAACTGAATCAGATGTCACCACTATTATCGAATTTGGAATTAAAAAAGTCTGTACTATCGACCTTGACTGAGTTAGGTAATCACTTTAGCATCCTCTTAAGAACAACTTAAAATACGTCAACTAATATATTTTAGATCGAAAAATGGCGAAAAAACGGTTTTTTTGGTTCCACCAAATCTAAAAATCTGAAAAAAATCACGAATATAATTTATGATAAGATTTAGTTGCTGAATTATTTTAAAAGTAAAACATTCAGATATATAAAAAATGCAATTTTAAAAATTCTTGAATTTTTGAAAAATTGATACCCCTTATACTCATGATTTTTTTTTTTTTTTAAAGATCTGTTTATATATAGATTTAACGGAGAAAAAAAATACTAATGAAAAATCACATTTTGTTTCATATCTCGAAACAGTGTGGCCCTTTTGGGATAAAACTTTGCACAAAATATTCTTTCATCAGTGTGTTAATTTTGTCCCGTGTAGCGATTGATTACGTGCTGTGGCCTGAAATCACCTCCTTATCCTGCTATATTCTTTGTTTAAATATGTCATGTTTATGCTTAATTTTCAAAGTGTTTCGATCTCACACTTTTTATTAACATTATCGTATTCAGGTCAAATTTATCGGCTCCTTTTTAATCTTTATGTCTAATAGATAGATTATAATGGTAGACAATGTATTTTATTGATCAGTTATTAACTTTCAAGAACTGTTCGTAAAATCAGACACCGGACAAGTCTAAAACAGGATTGTTTGGTCGAGAACTGGACATTAGCACTAATAAAATACTATTAAAAATCAACATAACGGGAATTTGCGTTTCTGTTAAAATAATAATATCCTTATATTTATTTTACATATGTTATTGTATTAAATAAATGTATTAAGAAAATGTATCTTTTTCTTTTTGCAGATTTCAACGGATAAAATACATATGTATTATTGGCGCTGTGTAGCTGCCATATATATATATACATTAGCTGCTCATTGGCGCTGTGTAGCTGCCATAGCGCTGACATTATAGCTGCTACAAGCGCTGTATTTCATTGATAGTTGCCATAGCTCTGATAAATACTATAGGTGCTATATGTGCTGAATTTATTTGCTTTATTACAGTAAAAAAATAATTATAGAAAAATAATTAATTTTTGATAGGAAATATGTCTGTGCATATAAAAAAACATGTAACTTTGAAGCCTGCAGACAGAAATATAATTGTCAACAGCGAATGGTTGACAGACACACATATGGAACATTTTC